CACAACCTCCCTGGGCAGCCTGTTCCAGTGTTCCATCACCCTCACTGAGAAGAAGTTTCTTCTCAAGTTTAAGTGGAACCTCTTGTGTTCCAGTTTGTACCCATTACCCCTTGTCCTATCATTGTTTGCCACTGAGTAGAGCCTGGCTCCATCCTCGTGACACTCCCCCTTTATATATTTATAGACACTTATAAGATCACCCCTCAGTCTCCTCTTCTCCAAACTATAGAGACCCAGCTCCCTCAGTCTTTCCTCATAAGGGAGATGCTCCACTCCCTTAACCATCTTAGTTGCCCTGCGCTGGACTCTCTCCAGCAGCTCCCTGTCCTTCTTGAACTGAGGGGCCCAGAACTGGACACAATATTCCAGATGCGGTCTCACCAGGGCAGAGTAGAGGGGAAGGAGGACCTCTCTCGACCTACTAACCACCGCCCTTCTAATACACCCCAGGATGCCATTGGCCTTCTTGGCCACAAGGGCACAGTGTTGGCTCATGGTCATCCTGTCGTCCACTAGGACCCCCAGGTCCCTCTCCCCTACACTGCTCTCTAACAGGTCGTTCCCCAACCTATACTGGAACCTGGGGTTGTTCCTGCCCAGGTGCAGGACTCTACACTTTCCCTTGTTATATTTCATCAAGTTATTCCCTGCCCAACTCTCCAGCCTGTCCAGGTCTCGCTGGATGGCAGCACAGCCTTCTGGCGTGTCAGCCACTCCTCCCAGCCTAGTGTCATCAGCAAACTTGCTGATAGTACACTCAATTCCCTCATCTAAATCATTGATGAATATATTAAATAATACCGGTCCCAGTACTGACCCTTGAGGCACTCCACTAGTCACAGGCCTCCAACTAGACTCAGCCCCATAGACTACAACTCTCTGGCTTCTCTCCTTCAGCCAGTTCGCAGTCCACCTCACTACCTGATCATCCAGACCACACTTCCTCAATTTAGCTGTGAGGATGCTGTGGGAGACTGTGTCAAATGCTTTGCTGAGGTCAAGGTAGACCACATCCACCGCTCTGCCATCATCCATCCACCGTGTTATTTCCTCATAAAAGGCTAAGAGATTGGTCAAACATGATTTCCCCTTGGTGAAGCCATGTTGACTGCCCCTCGTAACCCTCTTATCCTTGATATGCCTTAAGATGGCACCAAGGATAAGGTGTTCCATCACTTTCCCAGGGATGGAGGTGAGGCTGACCAGTCTATAGTTACCCGGGTCCTCCTTCTTGCCCTTTTGAAGACTGGAGTGACATTTGCTTTCCTCCAGTCCTCAGGCACCTCTCCCGTTTCCCAAGACTTGGTAAAGATGATGGAGAGTGGTCTAGCAATGACTTCCGCCAGTTCCCTCAGCACCCGCGGGTGCATCCCATCTGGACCCATGGATTTATGGATGTCCAGATTGCTCAACTGGTCTCTAACCCATTCCTCATCGACTAAGGCAAACCGCTCCGTTGACCTGACTCCATCTAAGGTCTCAGGGGTACAGGGCTCTTTAGGACTGCCGGCAGCAGAGTAGACAGAGACAAAGAAGGCATTCAGTAACTCTGCCATCTCTGTATCTTCTGTCACCAGGGCACCCATACCGTTCATCAGTGGGCCTACATTGCCTCTGGTGTTAGTTTTGTCTGCCATGTATTTGAAAAAGCTCTTTCTGCTGTCCTTGACCCTTCTCGCCAGGTTTAATTCTAAGGATGCCTTAGTCCTCCTAGCTGCCTTCCTACATCCTCTAGCAGCAGCCTTATATTCCTCCCAAGTGGCCAGCCCCACCTTCCATGACCTGTAAACTCTCCTCTTCCACTTGAGCACACCCAGCAATTCCCTATTTAGCCACGCAGGTCTCTTGGCCCTCTTCCTTGACTTCCTACGTGTCGGGATGCTCCGATCTTGAGCACGGAAAAAGCAATCCTTGAATGCCAACCAACTATCTTGGGCCCCTTTACCTTCAAGCAGCCTTGCCCGTGGGATTTCCCCTAGCAATTGCTTGAAAAGGCCAAAGTTTGCCCTGCTAAAGTCCAGGGTTGCAATTCTACTTGCTATTCTACTAGTCCTACCACACAAGATCCTGAACTCCACCATCTCGTGGTCGCTGCAACCAAGGCAGCCCTCAACCCTTACTGCTTCGACCAGACCCTCCTTGTTAGTGAGGATGAGATCCAGCAGCGCTCCTCTCCTGGTTGGCTCATCCACCATTTGCAGGAGGAAGTTATCCTCCATACACTGGAGGAACCTCCTGGACTGCGGCTGGGTTGCCGAGTGGTCCTTCCAGCAAACATCAGGGAAGTTAAAATCCCCCACGACCACCACAGCCTGTGACTGTGAGGCCGCTCTCAGCTGCCTGTAGAAGGTCTCGTCAACTTCCTCACCCTGATCCGGTGGTCTGTAACAGACACCCACAACAGTATCCCCCCTGCCAGCCTGCCCCTTAATTCTCACCCACAGACTCTCAACTCGCTCATCATCTGTCCTTAGACAGAACTCGGTGCATTGTTGTTGCTCCCATACATAAAGAGCAACCCCACCACCCTTCCTGGCTGGCCTGTCTTTCCTGAAAAGGACATAGCCCTCCATGACTATATTCCAGACATGTGAGCTGTCCCAGCACGTCTCTGTAATTGCCACCAGATCATAGTCTCCTGACTTAACACAGGTTTCCAACTCCTCCTGCTTATTTCCCATGCTGCGCGCATTGGTGTACAGACATTCCAGGGAGCGAGCTGAGCACACCGATTTCACCCTAGGATTATGGGAGGCCCCCCAGTCTTCATCAGTTCTGGAGTGCTGCCCCACTGGGGCAAGCCCAGCTACAAGCCCATCCCCCTTCGAATCTAGTTTAAAGCTCTCCAAATGAGCCCTGCTAATTCGTGCCCCAGCATCCTTTTGCCTCTGTGAGACAAACCTTTCTCACTTGTCATTGCCCAGACTGGTGCCCTATAAAACCAGCTGTTATCAAAGAATCCAAATCCCTGCCTGTAGCACCAGTCTCGAAGCCAATTGTTTATGAACTGAATCTTCCCATTCCTTCCCACATCATCAGGGTCACAGGTATTCTGCTCTCTGTTACTTGATAAAAGGGTAATTTCAGACTAACTTCCAAGGAGTTGAGTGAAGCCAGCTTGCAGAGGTACCCAGAGGCATGGAAGAGGTTTTGAGAGGGCTTCCTCAGGGGGTTCTGATCCTCTGCTTGTTCCTGGTAACTCAGGCTGGAAGCTGGTTATTCAAATAAAACACAGATTTCCATCTGGGCAAAAGGCTGGCTGGCACAGCCTTAGGGAGGTGAACTGAACAGACAGGACCTCTCTTTCTGCCCCCAAATGCGAGCCCTGGGGATGGGTTTGAGCTTGTTACATTTGTGGTGGGGTTCAACCTATCTCCTCTAAGCAAAGCCAGCCTCTGAGCCTGCTTTTAGCTTGCCATCAGCCACGAGGCATTTACAGTGCTCACATGGCACAGCCTTACATTAGTCAAGTGAGACAAGACCACAGGGCAGCCCTGTCTTCCACCCAGCTGTTGTTGCAACTTCCATCCATCTTCCTTTTTTCTTTAGGCAAACCATTCTCCTTGACTTTGAATTTGAGCTTAAATCAAGAGAAATACCTATCTTTTCTTAGCCTTTTAAAATGTTTTAATCTATTCCTTTCCAACAGCCTGATATAGTTAGATTTATCACTAATGGGTTTCAATACGTTAAGTTTTATGACTTGGTGGCTGACACTGTTTATATCACAGAGGTATTCATTTATGTACATTCTGCTTGTCTCAATTCCCAAACCTCAAATTTATTAGCAAAGAAGAGCTGGGAGAGCTGATGTAAGAAGCAGTATTTGAAATACAGTAGTCAGCCAAAGTGAATCTGTGCTATAAAGTGCCCCTATGTGGGCTTCATAAAAGTCTTACTGAAAAGCTTTTTTTTGCAAGAGTTGTTAAATTACCCTGCTCATATATACGGACACAAACATGTACTTGTACCAAATAAGTACTGAGGACGCATCTATATATAATACATGAGAGGAAATGGAATTTACTTTAACCAAATGCATAGTGTTTTGAAGCTACAGATTAGTCCAGTGGCCAGAAAACTAAGGTAAAACAAAGACCTATATTTCACTAAGCCTTTTTTGGCTTCAGGCGTGCAGCTTTAGGTACCCATGGCTTTACTTGCAAATGTGCTGCAATCCACAAATTTACGTGGACTTACCTATACTTTGCCAGCCATGAACGTGTGCTACCAGTTGACACCTGAAGCTCTCACATCTCACCAGGCACAAAGTAATTTGCCCAAGGTCATGCAGGGCTTTGCAAAATACCCCAAAACTTGTATTTCCTGTCCCGTCCTTCCCACTTCAACCAGTGCGTGCCCTGCACCCATTGGCTGGTAGACTGCTCCAGCTTCTTCTTCACGTACACCACTGATGCTGCTCTCCACAGATGAATGTCCCATGAGCTGGCAGAGGGAGGCAACTTTTCTAGTAGTCCCAGAGAGGCTCCACACAGAAACATAGGGACCATACACACATACTCCCATAGAAGGGGAGGGGTGATTCACGTTCTCCCAGTCTCTGGAGTTTTATCACCTTTGTCCAGAACAGTGCTCTAGGAGAAGATGAAGCACCTCTGAGCAATAGGTACCTGCAGGAAAAAATGCCACAGGCCTTGAAAATAGCTGGGAATTGTGCGATGATTATAAGGAGATAGAGACTGTCTGTAAATCTGCAGGTGGGAAGGAGAAGGATCTTGTATGGCTGAGCACCATTTAAAGCCCTTGACTAGAGACAAACCATTACTGGGCTTGGTTTTGAATTAAATTTTGCTTACAGTCATAACTAAATCATCACAAAAAGAGGATTTCAGTGGAAACTGACATGATAAAATGTAACTGAGATGTCATCAGCCTTTGGATACTTGCTTTTATGTAAATTTTTTCTAATATTCAAGGATGATTCAGAGTAAAGTTCCGTATTTATCTCTACAGTCATATTTTGGCTTATAAATGTTAATGAAAGCCAGGCACACCGAGATATGCAGAGAATTGTTTTACTTCCTATAAAACAAAATAAATTGGTCTCTTCAGTGCTGGGTTGTTGTTGTTTTTTTTCTAGTTAGCTCTTAAAGAGGTCTTATAACAACAGAGCCTCCGATCTCACAGTGATTGCCTGGCTCTCCTTTCCTTTCCACTGCAAGTCCTAGATCTCCTCCTGCCCCAACCACACATATCCTCTCTGCTCCCTGCTTTCCACTCAGCCCCCCCAAGTCCCTGCGTGCTGTTCACCCCTTCCCAAGGACACTGCTGTGCCTCCCTCCAGCAAGGTCCCAGCTTTCCCACCTTACTCTTCCCCCAGATAGTGCACCCAGCCTTCCAGTACAGCATACAGCTTTCTCTGCTGCACATTGGACTAGACAGTAACTAAAGCCTTCCAGCCTTAAAGCCTGTGGCTGAATACAGTGGTATCCATAGAGAGAAGAAAATGAACCCTGGAATTTCAGGTACCTTTGAGCACCTGTTGCTTCTCAGGAGACCTGCTCTAGTAGTGGTGAGAAAGTCCCAAAAGCACCCATTTACAATGGATACATGTCCCAAGGAAATCTGCAGCATTACTTTTATACCTTTATTGTTTAAGTAGAGAGAAGCAACTAGAGTGGTGGAAATGAAATTCTTCCCATGTCCAAAATGTGAACCTCCTAGTACGGGAACTGTAAGTTCCAGTTAAATTTAGAAGTACAAAGACACAGAACCTGAAAAGCAAATCTGATTCAGTGAAGAGAATGTTTCTGGCAAGAGGCTATAGAAATTTTATGTTCAAGAACAAAGATGAAACATCCTTTTTTCCTCTCAGTGTGGACAGAGAGGCTTTCCATGTCTGTGGGAATGGGTCCTCTCTCTGCTGGAAGCCCACGGCTGCTCTGGCATCACGTGTTGAACTGAAGCTGTGCAGTCCCAACAGGGTGCCCTTTGCATCAGTTAATCAGGACTGCCCTGACAAGTGGGTTATGAGGCTCATTAAGTTTTTATGAGTAATGAATCATTTAATTTCACCTTTAGGAAGCACAACAAGTGAGTGCAGGACTGGTTCCTGGCTGTTGTTCCTCTCAGCACTAGCATGAGCTGCTGGGGTGTTGTTTTGATGCAGCTCTTGAGGATGGAAAGTACCTACAATCAGAAAGCTTTTCCTTGCTGTGAACATAGTTAGGAAGAACTTCGGGGTTGTTTGATGACTGCCTTAATATAGCACTGCCTCTTATTAAACACAGCTTGAAATTCCATTGTCAAGTCCTCTAAGAGCTCACTGACATGTTAAGGGCCACCTCCAACTCTTTGCTAACCTGTGCGATACCTACTTGGAGGCCGTGGGGGGTTAACAAATGCAGCAGAGAGCAGCACGTCAAGCATAATGCTGGATGGTACTTCTGGAAATTAGAGGATTAAGTAAAAAAGTCAGTCAGTAAAGGCTGTGTGGAATCCCCCTGATGCTGCTTGAGGTGTGCAGCAAAAGTAGAGGTGTGAAATATCCAGCAACAAGGAGGCAATACCTCATATACTGAAGACATCATGGACAGTGCTGTCACTGTGAGCACAGGAGAGGAAATGGGTGAAAGCTGAATATTCACCCACACCCAGCTCTGAGGGGTAATAGGTGATATAGGGAACTTGCAGCTGAACACTCTATGGGCATACAGAGCCCTGGCTGCACACGGTACTCTGGAGACACACAGGGCTCCTCTCTCCAGGCTGTGCTGTTGCAATCTCAGGTGACGGAGGACACAGTCAGTGGCTGGTCTGCCCATGCTGGGCAGGTTGGGGGATAAAGGACAGTGTGGAATGAGCCCCAGCATTGTTGCTGCTCTGAGCACCAGGTAAAGCCAGGCTGATGCAAGCTTGAACCTGAGCAGGATGACCATGGGGCTGTCCAGTCCTTTCAGCACTCCTGTATTTAGACAGTCGGTGCACTCCAGTCGGAGCTGGAGACTCATAGTCATAGCAGAGAGCAAAACAGCCTGATTCCTGGGAAAGGTATGTTAAAAGGAATCCCACTGGCGACAGAGAGTTTTTCTCCCAGTTTTTTAGAGAAATGATATCACTGCAGTATTCACAGGTAGTGGGTGCAGAGGAATTCGTTAAAGATAAAATAGTAATTGTGCATTGCTCTACAACAGGCTTCAAAACTCCCCCCTTTCCAACTGTCTCCTCCGTGGGAGCAAAATACAGTAAATTATGCTGGTATGTAAATGCATATAAAACAGTGACAAAAAATGCAAATAGAGTAGGAGAATAGCTCTGGGGTGCTCTGGGCATTTTCTGCTTCACAGGTACCCTTGGTTTAAACAAGAGCACACCCACCTACTTGAGATGGGAGAATGACTAAGGTCCCCTCAGTCTCTCTGCTGATCTCTGTTTGGATGGTAGGTTCATTAGGCAAAGAAACAAGCTGTGGAGGGGAGAAAAGCGCTTTGCAGAAGAAGAGATGAGTGGGAAGTCAAATTTAAGACTGCCTGAAAAAGAGTTTCCAAGAATCTTACATGCCCTGGGGTTTAAGCAACACCGGTTCTGAGAGCCAAGGAGTGTGAGAGTTTAAAGTGTTTCAGGAGGAATCAACACACTTGCAATTATCCCTGCAGAAGTGATGACATGTCTACAGCTTTGCAGCACGCCTCTGAAGGACCCCCACTGGGTTGACCCACCTCTGTTGTTTTTACAGAGAATTTCCCTGCGCTGGTCTTATAGGGCTGATCTACTACCCTTAACAAATAACTAGAGAAGTAAAAGAATGTTATGTTCTTCAGCCTGTGAGTAAATCTCTTTTCTCATACCCCTTATTCATAAAGAAAATGACTTGAGACACTTGCTCAACAAAGGCGACGGTGTTTGTTATTCATTAGCTTGTTATTGAAAATTCCTGCTTCCTGCTGCAAGGAAAAGCAAACTCGTAATTTTCTATTCATTAACCTTCCCATGTAAAGCGATTTAAATTTAGGCTTTACCCTGGTTTTGTTTATAATCAGACCACAGTTTCAGATCAGCTGCAGACTGGTGCTGCCTGGGAAGCACGCTGCTGCTTAGAAATGGAGCTGTGCAGACAGCCCTGAGGCACAAGGTCTGCTCCAGAAAGGGGTGCTGCAGGCAGGGTGTACCAGGGAGCTGAGATGTCTTGCTGTGACTGTTGGTGATCTCAGGGCAGTTCTGCTCTGTCGCGGTTTAAACCCAGCTGACAATTACATGTAACACAGACACTTGCTCACTCCTCCCTGAGCAGGATGGGGAGGAGAATAGGAAGCGGGTAAAACCCACAGGTTGAGATAAGAACAGTTTAGTAACTGAAATAATGTAAAATATAGTAAGAATAACAGAAATAATAAAATCAATAATAATATTACATAAATAATGATTTTTATTATTATTAACAAAAGGAAAAATGAAAACAAAAGAAACCCCACAAGTGATGTACAACACAATTGCTCACCACCCACCGACCGAAGCCCAGCTCATCCCAAGCAGCAAAACACCCCCTTCCACCCAGTTCTCCCCAATTTATATACTGGGCATGACGTGCTGTGGTATGGAATACCCCTTTGATTAGTTCAGGTCAGGTGTCCTGTCTCTGCTTCCTCCCAGCTTCTCATGCCCCTCCTCACTGGCAGAGCATAAGACTGAAAAGTCCTTGATCAGGATAAGTGCTACTGAGCAACAACTAAAACATTGATGTGTTATCAGCATTGTTCTCAGACTAAAGCCCAAACACAGCACTGCACCAGATACTAGGGAGATAATTAACTCTATCCCAGCTGAAACCAGGACATGCTCCCACAGAAGCCAATAACATGAGCTCACTGATTGCTGTGAGGGCAGCAATACAGTGTTGAATAATGAAGGATTCAGGGATTATGGCATGATTTTGCCCAGGGAGCTTTACATGCCTTGTGAGCGCATAGCTTGTAGCAGTATTTGCTGAGTTACTCATGGATGTTGTACACTGGCTTTGAAACTTTCTACAAAATAATTAGAAATTCACAGAGATATTTGAATACCTTCATAAATTTTTAAACGGATTTGATAATTTTAGTAGGGAGAGAGCTGTTATGTAACATTTGAATAATTAATTGTACCCTGAGGGGGATGACTCAGTCAACTCAAGTGTAATTTGTATTTGTCTAATGCAGGCTATTTCTGTTTGAGCAATAGCTATTCCATGAGACATGTTACAAAGGGTGCATGTAAAAATAAATAAAAGACAGAATTAAGATAGCCTTGCAACGTTACTCACAGTGCCCGAGATGTATAAGCCCAATATCCACTAATGAACACTCCATTGGTATCTGTATCAGGTCTTCCACCTACTGAGAAAGGGGATGTAAACTACCATCTGCTGCAGAGAGATGCTCTTCATCCACAGCAATATGGTCAGAACATTGCAAACATTTTTAGTAGGAAAGATGAGCAACTGCAGCCTATCACAATTTCTTTATCTCAACAGATCCAGCAGCTACTCAGCTAGTGGAGAAGGAGCCCTGGGATCTATATGCTGCTCCTTCAGGTGTATAAGTACTGTATGCAAAATGGAGCATCTTTGACAGCCATGACTGCTCCATGTAGTCCAGTGGCTCCAGGTAGCACAGAGGGTTTCTGCTTAGAGCTTAGAGATGAGCATTCAGGCTCCCCCTCAAATGACTTCTCATCTTGTAAGTAATGCTGTCACCACCATGTACCTAAGTAATGCAAAGCTTTGTGTTCTGGATGGGTTGAACATACACTATCACCACCAGCAGGTGCAGAAACATCTTTTCTGTAAAACCCAGGGGAGGGCTAGGTTGGGAAGTCTTAACTTGTAAAGTCTTAACATTGCCTGTAAGAAGTCTTAACATTGTCTGTAAACCCCAGGGGAGGGCTAAGTTGTAAAGTCTAAATTATAATGTCTTAACACTGCCAAGCCATCTTGAACGAGAATGTTCTGGTGGTTCTTACTAGCAAGTACTTGAGTATACAGCTATCTCCTACAAGCCATGACCCACAGATCATATCCATGAGTTATACTGCTTCTAAATAATCCCAGTGAGAAACTTTGCTCTGCTCAGCCCAGCCCTTGTACCCAACAATCATTAATTCCTCTGAAGGCTGACACAGAGCCATGGGAAGCCAACACTGGTTAGCAGCTCCTTGCAAGAGGGCAGTTATTCAGAGCCTGCTTGATGGTCCTGATATGATTTGCACTTAGTGGGGCTGATGTGGAGCTGCTCCTGAAATGTTTTGCAGATATAAGCAGGACTTCAGTCCTACTGGGGTATTGCCAAAGAAATATATGAAGTTTTTTCTTACCATGGAAGCAATTTCTGTGACTATTAAGGGAGGTATCTGCCTGCACCAATCCCTTAGAAGCTTTGAACCCTCAGCCTCAGCAGCAAACACTTTTCTTCCATTCTTTTCACAAGTAGAGAGGCTCTAGCATGGAGAAGCCTCAATCTGACCCACAAATAATTGACACAATGAAGTGTGCACTTTTACAAGCAGATTGCCTTTGTGCTGGCGGGAGAAGTGCACTTCACACTGGAATGTCAGGGAAGCCACAGAGCGAGTGCGCAGCTGGAGGAAATCCCTTCCTTAGTGTCTTCAGTGTGACGCCTTCACTGTCCAAGCAATGCAACCTTTGGAAGGCTGCAATAAACCCTTGATGCTTGATACTGGCAATAAGCCCTGCAAAGGGACAAAGTGTTAATTGAAAACAGATTCTCCTTCACAAGCAAAAGGTCACAGTGGTAACTGCCCATTAATTTCCAGCAGGATGAGGGCAGCAAGGGGAGCACCTCTTATACAGCAAGGATGAGCAAACACTGGCACAAGCTGCCTAGAGAGGTGGTGGTATCTCCATCATTGGAGATACAAGCTGCCTGGACCTGCTCCTGGGCAGCCAGCTGTAGGTGGCCCTGCTTGAGCAGGGGGGTGGACCAGGCGGCCCCCAGAGGTACCAGGGCTATTCTGTGATTCTGAGCTGTGCAGATGTGCTGTTCTCTTGAGAAACAGCTCTGACTGGCACTCCCTGTGGGGAGCGAGGTACAAGGGATCTGCTTACCCAGAAACAGCAAGTGCAGCCTTGGCTCAAATCCTCTCAGAGACTGAGTGTGATTAATACTGGTGGGAGCCAATGAACTACTCACCTGGAGCAGATATTCAGCCCAGCTAGAGCTGCGCTCCATCTTCTTCCTCTTCGCAAGTCAGGAGAATTGGCCTGGCTCTGTTCACAGATCCAGTGTTAAAGGTACTTTGCAGGATGTACAAAGCTGGAGCTTTTGCCATGCACAAGTGAGAATCATAATGACCAAGAAACTTCCCTGCTAGGAACTTCAGCTCTCAGCTCTTGAGAGCAAGATCTGGATGGAAACTGGCTCAAGGCTGTGTTCCCATACAGCTACTTCCCTCATCTCTCTGCTGTTTGCTGCATTTTTAGTAATAAATTGCTAACTTTAGAGCCAAGTGGCAGCAGGAATTGCAGTGTATCAGAGAACACTGATACACTGCAAACGCTATAACCCTGAAGGGAAGATACCGCTTCTGAATTACCAGAGTTGTATGAATGATAACTGTCCTGGGTTCAGCTTAAACCATGACAATAACTTACATGCAAATTCAAGTCTTAGGGGCCCCTGTGCTTTCCAGACCAGGAGCTGGTGGAGGTGTTGCTCCATGGTTATCTGTAGTAAGTGCACAGGTCCACTGATGACAAATTTTAGAGAGCTGAATCGAGGTGGCTCTTTGCATGAAGGTGTTCAAGAACATTTGGTCTCAATCAAACATGTAGCCTAAAATGTCCATTCCTTTCAACCTGCAAAGCCAGAAAACTATGGTGTAGCAAAGCACAGGGAAGAAAAAGGGTTTGGGGAAGGTGGGACATGGATTTCTAAGTCTTAGAGAACTTTCAAAGAACTGGTAAATTACTGCTTCTTTGGCCCTCAGATGGCCATACAAACAATCTGAATGATGCCAGGCAGTGCTTACCAGAGTATCAGAGACCTTAGAGGAAACTATACCATCCTGTAGGGAAGCTCAGCACAACTCTGCCAAGCCCAACCTGATTATTCAGTACCTCTGGCATGGCAAAGTGTCTGATGTCTGGAATGAAGACATGGCCTAGCAGGGTTATCAAAGTGACTGCTGGAGCACGTCCAGGATGAGGTTTGCCTCTTTCAAAATGTGGATCAAAATGAACTAAGCTTTCTTAGGATACAGTGCACCCAGGATCTCAGTCTTGATGGTCTGATATCAAGGGGAACAAAATAGGTAATCTGAACACCTAGTTTGAAGGAACTGTCATAAGCACAGGAAAAGCTTCAGATACCTGAAGGGGCATCCTACTGATGATGATGTTTGCTAAGGAACATCTGCCACCATTTTTAATATGTGCCCAGCAGAAGCAGTGACTGTCAGGAGGTCACCTTCATCAGTAACTGTGGCAGTAAGTCATCCAGAAATCCAAAGGAGGCTGCTGTGACATTCATCAGTCTTTCCGAGATCAATCCCTAACTTCTGTTCATAATGCAGGGCTTAAAACTTTTTGAGACCATCTCCCAGTGTGATCACCCCTCCTGGTAAGGGGACTACTGACAGATAGGTCTGATGAGATACCATGCTATTGACATACCAGCTACAGAGGTTATTCACTTCTCCATATGAAAAGTTGCTCAGTTCTCTGAGATCCTAACACCGTATTCAGCGAGGAAAGCTTGGCTGGGTGCCCTGCAGAGCTTTGGATCTTTGTCATTGGCATGTTTCTTGCCCTGTATGTTGTGGTGGACCAGCACTTCAGTTTGCATGTATGCATGGCCCAGGGTCCACAATCATCTTCTTGTCTGGGGTCCTCAGACATTGTCATGGCAGCAGAGATTGTCTTTGAGGTGGCTCTGGACTCGTACAACCACAGGATACTCTGAGAGCACAGGAACTGAAGCACTACCCATAACCACCATTGGTGGAAACCAAAAACCCCAAGCTCACCCTTTGAACTGAACTTTGTGCATACCAATATTACACAGGAAGAGTCATACTGAGTCTGGGCAAAGGTCTGTTTAGGAATTTATGGAACTTTCTGCTGTGATTTTGTACAAACCATTTTAAGCCCTTTTGCGCTTTCCAGCCTCTGTCCATCCTGTGCCAACAGGTTCTGCAGTTCAGTTTTGTGCTACAGAAACACGTGTGCCTGTACTGAAACTACCCTGACAAGTTTGTAGTGTACCTCAGTATCTGGCTTATGAGATAGTGAAAAATCACTCCCTGTTCACCTTTCCTGTATCATTCGTTAGATGGAGTTCTGCCCCTCTCATGCCTTTTCAAATGAATACTTCTAGCCTGTTTATAGTCTTTCACTGAACAGATCTGCTCCATATTTCTAGAGATCCTTATCACACCACGCATTTTTTCTCACTATCTTTAGAGTTAAACCAAGCAAGTTCTGCAATATGTTACCTTTTGATCTCAAAGGAAGATATTTCCTGCTTAAATGATTGCTGACAAGCAAACAGCTCCCAGGTCCATAAGAATCTGACTCATCTCACTGCATTTGATGTTTCTGTTCAATATCTCTTTACATGCGATACACGCAACGACAATGCAATGAGCCAGGCCATGTTATTGCTTCTTGGGGTCTATTCAGTCCCACAGCTGGACTCCTATGCAGTACTGTCTTGCCTTTTTCAGCACATGAAGAGTTGTGGTGCTTGAATAGAGCTTTCCATGAAGAGCAGCACTTTTATTATGTTTGCCCATGGAGCCATAAGCTACATCAGCTATGTCGGTTAAAACTGGCTGTTATTTCAGCTATGTGGGGATCTTGCCTGTGGGTGGGTGGATGCAAAGGTTGGAGTTAACCAGCCCACTCAGGGTTCCGGTTCTGCAGAGGCTGGAGAAAAATCACATTTATACACACGGAAAAAAAGCAGTAAATTGTAGCATGGGCTTGTCCATTATTAACGTAAATCCATAATCCTTTTGTCCTTGCAGTGAAGATATGATAGAAACCTCTCAGCAAGTTGCAAAGGCTGATTCCAACATGGAGATCAGCATCTATATCTATGAGCATATGGCTGCATATATGGACATAAAAGCTGCACAGACCTCAGTTTTACAGCTTAACTTCAGTATCTCTTTCCTTTCTGCTTTTCTGCATTCTCTGTCCTCTTCACTGTAACCCATCAACCTTCGAGGGTATTCATTTGAGAAACCAGAAAGATTTTAAGAATGAAGTGGGTTAATTGGTAACCAAGGTCATGAAAACACTCACTATAATCACCTACGATGATGCTGGAAGGGCAATAAATACTTCATCAGCTTTTGAAAGACTGGCAGGATGATTACAGGCTTCAAAAGCAAACGTTTGTTGAAGTTTTAATTACAGCACTTAGGTGAACAAGTGGCAAGGCATGACAGAGGTAAGTCAGCTCTTGTAAAACAAAATTATGTCTTACTCTGCTAGGACTTTAAATCTTTTTCAAGCATTCTGTACTTGACACTGTTCCTCACAAGAAGATAATAACCTGGTAATTATGGGATTATTATCCACATTTTATTTGGTTTAAAAATGTATTTCACTGTTTATTAAGTGTAAAATCATTCCAGAACTAGCATTTGTAAGATCAGAAGCATTTTGGTGAACATCAACAGAAAAATTCTAGCCTGTACAAACTGTACAAACTAGCCTGAATGCAAAAACCAAATTCTTAACTTTGTCGGGACAAGAGACAGGCTGCGAACTTCTCAGCAGAGATACATGAATGGGCAGAATGAGGCCATAGGAGAAGAGAGTAGGCTAAATCCAAGCACTGTGCCTGGAGCAGAGCTCCTGTGAAGGACTACCTCAAGGAAGTATACCTGATGAACAGAGCCATACTTGTTTCCAACTGCAAGTGAAAGGAGCTTGCAAACAGAGCATTAGTGAGATGCATAGTCTCCAGAAGTCTTTGGAAGAAAAGGCTGGTGGATTGGCCAACATCACCCATCAGCACTTACGACCAACTGTCCTTAATAAGCACAGAGCTACAAATGCCTCCTGAGCTCTCAGATTGTCCTGACACTGGCTGTTATTTCTCACGTTTACCTAGTGTTACATTCTGTATCACATCTGTTACCTCGCTAGCTAGGGAATGGTCAATGTACTTGAAGCAGGATCAGCAAGAGCTCTCCTTAAGACAATCAGGGAACTCACTACGTATTCAGTCATACAGTGTTTCCCTCCTTCTGGGGGGATACATGCTGTGTTTCCTGCCATTCTCCCAGGCTTTCAGGGAGCAGGTAATAGACACTACCATGCAGCATCTATCCTGTTTTCAGTTTAAAACTGTTACCCCTCCTCCTATCCCTACGTGCCCTTGTAAAATGTCCCTCTCCATCTTTCTTGCAGACCCTCTTTATGTACTGGAAGGCTGCTCTAAGGTCTCCCTGGAGACTTCTCCTCTCCAGGCTGAACAGGCCCAGATCTCTCAGCCTGTCTTCATAGGAGAGGTGCTTCAGCCCTTTGAGCATCTTCATGGCCCTTCTCTGGACTCTCTCCAATAGGTCCATGTCCTTCTATGCTGGGGGCCACAGACCTGGATGCAGGTGGGGTCTCGCAAGAGATCCCTTCCCTCCAGCCTGTTGACCACACCACACAGCTTGGTGTCATCAGCAGACTTGCTAAGGGTGCATCAATCTCACTGTTCATGTCACCAACAAAGATGTTTAACAGCACTGGTCCCAGAACCAACCCCTCAGGAACACCACTCGTCACCAGTCTCTACTCAGACATGGAGCCATTACCACAACTCTTTGACTGAAACCATCCAGCCAATTCCTTATCCACATCAAATCCATGCTTCTCCAGTTTAGAGACAAGGATGTCACGTGGGACAGTGTCAAAATGCTTTGTACCATCTAATGGGATAGCATCCTGGGTCTCTTCCTGAGACATATTTTAGTTCCAGACATGATAATAAAAAGTCCTAAACCATGTCAAATTAAGGAACTGAAAATAAAGTAATTCAGACACTTTCCTCTAGTCAGCAGTCACTAGGGCTGCTGTTAGGGTAGTTTTCTTGCACAAAAAGAAAGTTACCCAGATAGCAAGCTGCCTCTGCCTCCTGCCCAGTTTTTCTGCTCACTGAGGAAGAGACAATGTCAGATGTGGGGAAATAAGAATAGATTCACAGTTCTCATTTTCTCATGTGATCAAATGTGGGACCCAAATACGTTATCACTGATCACTCCTGCTACACTGAAATATTTCAGGATTTGATTTTTTGCTCCCGAAAGCAGATTAATCAACCAATCAAATTATCAAGAGAATTCTATGAAAGAAGTATCTTAATACATGGCAATTTTCTATATTATGAACATTAAAATCAGTCAACAATGATCCACAGCTTTTCTTTTTCACACCAAAATTCTGTAATGTCCCAGAAAAGGGAACTTGAAGAACTTCAAGCTGTCAAACAACTTTGCAGTCCTATTTCAATCTGCCTGTTACAAAAGTGTTGTGAATTCAACTCCTCTTGCTTTGCTTTAACATTACACGACTTATAATCCCCTTCATTTTCCTTAGAAACCTGAGTACTGTTGAGGCTCATTAATGTGCAATTTTGTCTTTAGATTTCAGACAATAACAGCCTTCCTAAGTCTTTTAAAACTAACTTTAATATAGAAGGTTTCACATCTTGTTCGCAAAACCTGTCCACAATCCTCTGCTTTAAAAAAAAAAAGAAAAAAAAGCCCCAATCTCATTTTTTTTAGTTCATACTTTTATCATTCTTCTGCTAGGGTTGCATAGCATTAGTTATGTCGCAAAAGTCAGAGTTTTGGGGGCAGAATGTTTGAGTAAATTATTGCTTCATTGCTTTCAAAACAATAAAGATGAGAATCAGAAGTCTGATGCTTACTAATACCTCCACAATTGTGTAGTAAAATCCAGAGCTAACAGCAAAAGAAAAGATGGAGCTTCAGACAGCTACTAGTACATGTGTCAGACCAGAAGCTGAAGTCCAAGTAAGCAATCAATGAACGAGTCAATGGCGCCCAATCTCTAAATAAGACAGATGTCTACAAGTATAACACAGCATGACCAAAATCTGATTGATTTTGACTGACCTATTCTGCCCCCACAGGGCCCAAGCACATGTGGAATGTCACCAGTCTGAAGTTGGAAGTGACTGGACTACATTGCAAGACCTTTGGAGAATTTGATATTGACATATATTTTATGATAGCATCAAGATTCCCAATCACATGTGCTCACTGCAAAAGCCTTTTTCGTTCACATAAAAACAGAGACTTGAAAATTAACAATCCACTGATGTGGTTTAGTGGTGGACTTGGCAGTCCTAGGGTAAAGGCTTATGATCTCAAATGTCTTTTTCAACCTAGCTGATTCTATGATCCTATAAGCATGTCAGGAAGGAATATGAAAACCTGAAAAGTTTAAGCTGTCTCTTAGTACAACTGAGCATAGAATACTATCCAGGTGATGAAATTATGATGTGTGCTTAAGTAATCCTGTACTTGGTTTGCAAAGAGGAAGGTGGCACAAAAGGTTAAAGAAGAATGCTTTTATTCAGCTTTCAGCTCTCACAGTTCTAAACAGTAAACAGAATTAACAATTCACCCACAGTACTGGAGAACACAGTCCTGGGGTCAGTAAAATGTCTACTGTTAAGGCACTGGTAGTGGGAAGAAAAAAGACATAACATGGATTGCTCCTATTTAATCAGAATCTGAATCTGTTACGAACATGTGCTCGCTATTCAAATGCTTAAAATTCCACAAGCTACATTCACAAACAAATGTTTATACAACTTCAGTAATTACTGAAACACAGGAATCCGTGGCTCCCCTACTTCAACTTAAGAGCAAGTATTGCATTTGGAGTGGAATCAGGTTGTAACTTACTAAAAGAAAACAAACCACAAATTACTTCAGCAGTATGGCTTTAAGACCCTGTATTTTGGTTACAATATAGCAAGCAAAGTTAAATAACAGCATATAAGTGCCATATACTGTAATCTCAAAAGAAACAGTTCTACAATATAAAAATTAGTTTAGAACATACTAAAGCCAGTTTTTGTACAAACATTTTTACAAAACTGAAGTACTCAAAGAAATGAAAAATCAAAAATATTTTAAATATGAATAGAATCACTCTTTACATGTATGTATGAAATTACTTACCTTGATGATATAAATTAGAAATACTACAAACTTCTTAAAGCTGGCATCCATATACTATTGAAATACACACATCAGAAATACTGAAGTGTTAGTTCTGCAATAATCCTTTAGAGTCACATTTGTACTTCCCAAACAGATAGAGTAACTTAGGTACCTAAAGGAGCCACAGTGACCTCCCGTGGCCACTTAAGAAATCCCGTTTCTCCATTTTGAACATGAAATTCCTCACAAACGCTAATAAACTTAAAAACAGTGGTTCACGCTTGGTCCACCAATCCCAGGAGACGTCAGTACTTACATTTGAAATGAGTATAAAGGAACATAGCCTTCACACAATCATAATCTAGCTCCTGGTCACTGAAACAAAGTCATGTCTCCCCTCTGATTTATCACCAAAGAACCTGTTCCAGAACAGCTTTTCTGAGCACTGTTTTCTGTAGGTCAATGTAGGTGATGTTCAATAGATACTCCACATTTAGTATTAGGCTCCCAAATATATAACTTCAGCTTTTGAGAGAACAAAGGAAGGAGATGTAAATTGAAGCTGCCTGACTCCAAGCCCAAACCAAAACACAAAGTTGCATGAGACATTTTAAACGTTTCAAGCTCATTGGTATACAAAACCCTAAAACATTTTATAAAGGAAACCAAGTGTGACAAAAGAGTCAATTAGGTGCCTTCTCCCATTGCTCTAAGGAATATAACAAACGGGAACAAACCTTGTCTTCTGTATCATGAACAGATGAACAACATGAGACCACCACAAAAATCACAGCAGTGACTGTCTCTTCTCTGCAGTACATCCATCGACATTTACATTCTACTGCTTATAAATCCTCTCTGTTATATCCAACTTTCTTCCCATTAAGTGACTCTTCTGTGTTTGGTGCCAGCCATGTGAAATATACCTTCACTGGATCAATATTCCAATGCTTGTGAAATGATACTGGAATTTGGTGAGAAAGGTAGCCTTTTGGGTAGTCCATTGGCCTCGCCTAGGGTGGAAGAATAAACCAAAACCACTAGTACTCTGTGATGAAGAACAAGTTTAGAACAAGAAAGTACTGTTGTCCAAAGGCCTGTGTACCACAACAAAGCAATGTGGAATTGACAAAACATACACAAAGGGGTTTTCACATCATTATATTAAATCAATTGACAGGCATTAGTTTTGATATCCAACTCGCACTGTGGTCATCATGCTATGAAGTACACTGACATTAAACATGCCCTATTTCTCAGGATGAAACCATCACCATCTACGAAAGTGAATGATGCAATATAGTTTGTATTGCATCTTTTTAAACATACACTTTTGCTTCAATAACAACAGATTTTAAGTAATACTCTCCTGCTCCTCCTATTAATAAGAGTTGCCAGCACATCCAGTGCAACTGTAGGATCCTAAGAGGGCTGTAAGCAGCTAAAATATATGAAGTTTTATGATGGGGAAAGGTTACCAAACACACAAATACTGTGGTGCCGGAAAACTGCATTGTCATTCTTCATCAAGTTATATCAAAAGAGACAGGATTACAACACAGCTACTTGATGCAGCTGACTTCTCCATGCACCAAGCATGTTTCATTTCCTCTGACAGCATGTAAGTGTATCAATATATAAAAAAGCTCCTTGGTAAAACAGAATCATAGTATAGTTAAGGGTCATCTAATCCAACCCCCCTGCAGTGAGTAGGGGCATCTTCAACTAGACCAGGTTGCTTAAAAACAAATATCCAACTTGGCCTTGAATGTCTCCAGTATGAAGATAACTTTGCTTCTGTTTCATAACATACACACAGTACAATTTTGGATTCATGTACTTCAAGGAACATTGTACATCACAGTATTTCAGTCAAGCCTTTAAAAAATAATTTTCCGGTTGACAGAAAATCCAATTTTGTTTTTCTCATTTTTAAAATACTTATTGCCTAATAGTGGAATTCGTAGAATAAGCCCACTTAGTTCTTATTCAGTAGTTCCGCCCCCCCCCCCCCGTTAATTTTTGTTCAAGGTATGTTAAATTAGAATTTGTTGTAAACAGCAGTAAAGATGATTTACAATTTCAAGTGCAGTGGAAAATCAAACTTCTAGGATTTCACTTTCAAAGTGATTCATTAGCAGATGTACACCATTAAAGATGGCAGGGAAGTGCCCTGTTTCATTGTATAAGGGCCGTTCCTACATATCTGTAAAACCAGTTCTGTTCTTTCTGACTCTCCTTTAGTTAGGTGTTGGGGTTTTTTAAACAAACACCTGTGCCAGCACAAATTATTCAATAACTCTGTTGACTTTATAAGATGCATTACTTGCTTTCTACACTGAAAGGAGTAAGCAATGATGAAGAAAATGGGAAAGTAAACAGCTATGATTTTTTTATACGGACAACAAATTAAAATATTGAATAGTGCTTTCTCAGGCTTCCCATTCCTCTAAATAGTAAATGTAATCAGAAAGAGAATCTTAATACAGGAAAACCTTATAATTTAAATAGCAAACCTTTTCCCCCCACTGACAGCTGCTTTGAATTACATGGCAATTTACAAATTTTCAAGTAGCATTTTATCTTAATCTCGGTTCATGTTGAGATGCACAGGTCTTTCCAGTTCTCAAACTAGGTTAACACCTGAATATCCTCAACACCACACTGATTAAAATGCTGATTTTTAAAAATGCTGTGTAATGACAGGAAAAAATGGTAAGTGCTGCTTCTCTTTCATGCCATGGGAGGAAGGTAAAGTAGTTTATGAGGCAGCAAACCTCTGGCATTGTGTTTTCAACTGTAATGCTGCAGTTAGATTGTTAAATATTCTGGAAGACAGAAACAAGGTTCTAATCTATTCCAACCCATTTCTCCCAAACTGGAGAATACAGTCATAAGAAAATTATGGTTTGTGACCTCTTTTTCCCCTGTGTTAGCATAGGGCAATTTATAATATCTATACTATTCTGCAGAATTCACCACAAAAGCAACAGTTCTGAGAGTAATTTTACATTTTATATTTTCACTAATGAGGTATTTCAGAATATTAAACACTGCATCAATAGAAAAACTGGGTAAGTAGAAAAGAAAAATTTACTGAAATATTTCAGAGTCGGTTCTCCATTACCTGAAGAAAAGAGGATTATGATGCAGGGTTTTTTCTTTTTGTAGAGAACATATCACAAGAATTCAAAGCATGTGGCTCCTAATTTAATTTCTTTTTCAAAATTCCCACTTCTGACAGCATTTTTTATAAAATGTAGTCTTAGGGTAACTGAAATATCTTTTAAACTATTACAGCATTGTGATAATCCCTGCTTTGAGAATATTATTTGCTTGCTCTGTAGAGAAATAAGGTATAGGAGCAGCATCTTGGTTATTGTTATTACACATTGATTGAGTCTGCATTATTTATGAGTTTGAAATATTTATGAATTCTGTTCTATGTGCATACCTGAAATAATGAAACATACATTAAATACTAGTAAAAATAACTCTCTGACCTGATGGAAAAGTGGACTATGTGTTATAGGGATTCCTAAGCCACTGAAACACATCCCAAGGACCATATCATCAGGCGCATCCATGCTGTAACACCGGCATTTACTAGCAAGTAGTTTCTGAACAGCTATTCTGCTGAAAACCATCCTGGATTTAAAAAAAAAGGCAAATGAAACATATAAGACAATAAGTACCAGAGAAGCCAAATGACTCTAATTACTAAATATTGATAAATGATATAACTGCACAACAAAATGTGGCCCTCTGGTACAACAGATTTGAAATTTCAGAATTTGAGAAATCAGTGTTGACAATTAGTGCAAGAGGCATTTTCTGAAAAAGAATTAATTTATTTTAGTTAGCTTTAATTACTTTAAGGACCAGCCAAGCTAAAATTATCCCTTCTGAAACCAACTGTTTTCCTCTATAAATCTGTTCCCAGCAGCACAACTTCTTACTAGTTAGGACATTTGGGTCTTGGAGCATCATTACATTTTAACTGTTTCTGCTGTAACTGAATTGTGTTGTAATTCAAGGTATTTGCACTCAAAGCAGGGACTGATGTAGATCTCAGCAGGAGTTTAAATAAATTACCCTCCTCCGCCAGTGATGTA